AAAGTTGAAGGATTCCAAGTGAAGAGAGATATGTTTCCTTAGTAGTTTCTCCATAAGTTTGCAAAGTGTGTGTGTGTGTGTGTGTGTGTGTGTGTGTGTGTGCACTTGCGTGTGTGTGTTAAATTTCTATGTGCGTGGATCTGTCTTTAAACATTGCTCATAAGTTTTCAGCACCAGCCAAGCACGAATTCCAAGAATCGGAAACAGGTTTATTGCAAACTGACCTCCATGATAAGTACAGAATAACATACGTACATACATGTACAAATATTCATACATACAAGCATATATAAAATCGAACTCCCTTTCGAAGCATAGTAATAAAGTTGTATATTCATAAATATTCCAGTTTAGATATATGAAGCTTCGTAAGAAAATTTCTTGGCAGGATGTAAGGAAGTACTTTTATTTAGTGTAAGACACTACAAAAATGTCACATTATATTTTTGCCTATATAATAATGCACTCATTAAAGGAGAGACAGACACAGAGAGATAATATTAAGGTTCAGAGAACCCTAGGACAGTGGTCCTCAGTTGTTGGACGTGAACCCCCTGTCGGTCCATGATGACCTTGTATGCGGTCCACATATTTGGTAATAGATTCATTTCTTAAATATACTAACTACCTTTATACAAGGACCACGGTCTCCCTCATAAGGGAGAGCGGCCGAGTCAAAGCAAAACCTTGACTCTTTGTGGGAGGAAAATACAAAAGAGAAGACTGCTAGTCCCCTCGATCCGCCCCATGTATACCACGTTTATTTCAAACGGAAATATTAGCGGTCTGCAATATTTTGTGATATCTCAAATAATGTCTTTCAAACCAAAATATTTTTTTTACTCATATTTGTATTAATACGATTGGTAGTCCGTAGACTGGTAAGTGTTCAGAACCCCAGTATAGTGCAAGATTTTCGACTATATATATATATATATATATATATATATATATATATATATATATATATATATATATATATATATATATATATATATATATATATATATATATATATATATATATATATAATAATAATAATTATTATTATTATTATTACAATAATGATGTAACTGTTTATATTGCTAGAATATACCCTCTGTAAGAGCAGCAGTAACATATCTTTTTGGTCTTGCTTTTTTATTTATTTATCTAATTGTTCGTGACTAATATTCATTAGTATTTATTTTTTTATTTTTATATATCTCTAAGTCGTAAAGATCTTATGTAATGTCGACAGCCTCTTTCTTGGTAAAATAAAAAAAACAGAAAATAATGTCCCTTGACTAAAGACCTCACTTCAGTGAATATACAGCGTATTATTGTACATCACTGTCAATTATTATTGTGCTTGTAGCCTCAGCATTATTATCAGAGTTCTCGTACATTTCCCGAGAATAAGGTTTCCTTGCCATTGTAAGATTTAACTCATTTTCAGTTTCGAGAGCATTTGTACAATGCACAAACATAAGGTTTATGGAATATGCTTGGGGGATATCTGTCCCCCCTTTTGTTGTAAATGTCTTGTATTTCTTTCCATAAAAAAACAATAGTTCCAGTGTCCAGGATTTCCAGGTAGCAAAAACTCGTCTTAAGAAGCCTGCGGGGACCTCAAGCAGAATTCACCATTTTTATTGTTGGTAAGTTTAAGACCGATCTTACGATTCGTAAATCAAGGTCTCCATAACTACGCGTATCTTTAGGAAATTCTTATAACTAACATTTTAACTGTGGTTAAAAATATGTACGTCTAAGTTTTGATGTCATATGTATAGAGAAAGTTTGTTATTACAATGTACTGTACTATTTGTAAATCAACCCTCCAGCTTAAGAATATATTCTTATACGATAGTAAATCTTGCTTCTTGAGGGTATCCTATTGGTACTCAGGTATTTCCAGCGCGGGCTGGATTTGAGGGGGCCTTCCCAGGATGAGCGACGCTGGGTTGCCACTGAGAAAAGACTTCAACATCTTGGTCCTCACCTGAGTATATCAGCTCAGGCAGTTCACGGACACTCACTCAGTAGTGTAGAAACCAGTGTACTAGGAGGAGGGTGACGCATCTTCGCTGTTTTCATCATTGCTTGGGCGTGTTTATACAGTGTATTGTGCTCTTTTGCGTTATTTTGGATTTATATATATTGGGTAATTGCTCCTGTGTCATTGAGGCAATGGAATAGGTAAGAGTTTCTCAGCATATATTCGCAATTGTTTATCCATTATATATATATATATATATATATATATATATATATATATATATATATATATATATATATATATATATATATATATATATATATATATATATATATATATATATTACTTAGGTAAAATTTTACTTATACACCTCCAGATAGAAAAAAATCTCATGGAATTTATTACATCAAGTTTGATTAGATTACGTAAGTCAGTTCATCGTTAATTAAGGAACAAGTTGACTATGGAAGGTATTACATAAAATATTAAAACTTAATATATGAAAATAAGAAAATTAAACCTAAGCAATGACATATATATATATGTGTAGCACCAGTTTTAGATATATTTTCAACATTTTGTATTGTAGTTTTACACGTTGGGAGTATTATAGTAAACATTTACCTTGTATAGGTGAATAACACAATGGTCATTTGTAAGTTAAAAGTATAATCCCCGTTTCATTTATCCACTGTAAGCCCCCATTAAAGGGGATTTACGCAGACTGTGACTGTCTAGCCTAATAGGCAAATTGTTGATAACTATTATTATGATATCTAAGTTTTAAGTAAATTACGAAATTGCTTTGTAGACATATAGATGTGCAGTCAATAGATATAAATTGTGAGTTACACACACAAAGGTCCCCATTTCCTTATTAAGGGGGTGGCTTAGCCAAGGACATGCAGTCACCACTAGCCAACGCAACACCACGGTCACTCCTCTTTGGGGATGCCTTATTAAGGGGGTGGCTTAGCCAAAGACATGCAGTCACCACTAGCCAACGCAACACCACAGTCACTCCTCTTTGGGGATGAAGTATTGCTACATGCCCCCTACCATCCATCTTAGGTCATCCGCAGGGTAGGGGGGTAAGTATATTCTGCCATGAGGACCTACAACCGCAGCTGGTTTACCTTTACCGTTCAATATGTGTGTATTTGTGACATGGTTTTATGTGTGTGTAACATGCTTAGCCAGTGGACTTCCCAGTTACTGTTGTTTTTGTACCCCAGTGAATTAATTGGCTTCATGTCCTTCTTATTTTGTTTCTTTATTTCATTACTTCGTACCAATGCCACTCAGTTATAAGGTATTACAATGAATGCCTTGGATTTGCGTCCCGCGGTAGCGCAGTGGGGAGTGATAAACCCACGTTTGAGTCCATCATGGGGCGTTGGGAAGGACATCTAGCCTTAATTCCTCAGCTCTCACCTATGTCCACCCCCTTATTGGAAACTATTAGTGACCCATTAAACGGCAAACCAACAATAAATACATTGGACTTAATGGCTTGGGGTGGGACAAGAAGCTGTGTGGGGATGAGTCTTGCTAATTATACCATGTCAAACCCTTATCATAACAGACCTTAACCTGGAAGGTCATATGGGTAAATTAATATGCGTGAGAAGGTTAGAAAGTTTATCGGGTCAAGACCTATTACCATGGTTGTGTGGTAGGGGTGGGTGACAAAGCTGAAAAACAACAATATTTTGTCTTTGCTGTTTATGTTCTTTTGTTTGTTCTGCTACTGCAACTCTTCTTTTTTTTTCATCTTCTTTACTTCGCTCTACTTCTTTATTCTTTGGGCTTATAAGGTAAGATTTTTTTTTTTAATTATCATCATTATTATGAAGGAAAGGGCTAGACTACTTCTTCCGTGTTCTCTTGCATGTCGTGAGAGTCGACTTAATGGGGTGGAGCGAGGGTATTGGGAATCCTCTCCTCTGTATTTTCACTTCCCAAAGAGACAAAGTATTTTGCCTTGACTCAGCCACTTCCCTTAGAAGGGAAACATGGCTCTTGTATATAGATAGTGTTCTCTTGCCATATTTTACGAAAAATGTTGAGAAGGTAATACAGGGAGGGCCAAAAGTAGGTATATAGTCATTTAGCCGATAGGATGAATTGCCAGACATATTGGTGGAGCAGTGTCAGATGTCTCTCTCCACGCTGTGCGCGCCATCTGTTTTATGATGCACTGGGGCATGACTTTACACAAGATATTAAGTTATATAAATAACTTTAAAAAAATTAACCTAACCTAATGGAAGAATTAGGACCTAAAAAAATTTGAAGGCCCAAATCTTGATGAGCTCCAGAGTAATACAAATATAGATATATACATACTTTTGGCCTATTTCCTTTGACCTTATTAATCCCACTGAATAGCAGGGTTGGCCGCTCAAGTCAACTTCCTCCACTTGTTCCTATCCCTAGCATCTCCCTCCTCCAATCCAATTTCAACCATATCCCTCCCCACCACGTCCATCCATCCGGGCCGCTGGCGTCCCACACTCCTTCTCCCTATCACTGGCATGTTCTTAGCTCTCCTGATTGGTTCCTCCTCCCCTCTTCTTACTGCATGGCCATAGTATCTCAGACGAGCTTCCCTAGCCTTCTCTATGACATTACAAATTCCACACATTCTTCTTATATCTCGACTCTCTTTCCTCTCCAGTAATGATATTCCAGCAATCCATCTAACCATCCTCATTTCTATATACATACTTTTGACCGACCCTGTATAATAGCCCCCATTCCAGGAGTGGTTATTGGGACGAAATTTATCTCAACATGATTAGTTAGTCCATTTTTATCATATTCTCCACTGACATATTGATTACGAAAAGTTCTGTGTCGTTCGAATATATCTGATGCAGACAGAACAATATTATCCTATTGGTAACTGATGTGATCTTTTTTACGTCACGGACTCCCTCTTCTGGTACCTTCTTGCGAGGGACTTTGATTTTGACATTTATGACCGTTACCCAATGCGAATGCCCTTTCTAACTTCAGACCGTGGCGGGTTTCGAGCCCGCGACCTGACGAATCAAAGCCGCAAGCATTACCACTCGGCCAAAGCGTCCACATGTCATTGATTATCTCTTTTTATTATCGTAATTACAGTCGAGTTAAACAATTGTCGACGCAGTGTGCAGTCTACCAGACACGCGGTATAATGTATTACATAGAGTATTATGTAAAAAGAATAAATAATTTATGAGCAATGTGTAAACAAACGTGAAAGACTGTACAGTAGAGGTAGTAGTGCTATTATTATGCTAGTATTAAGAGGACTGAACAATACTAGTAGCGGCCGAAATTTTCTCCCAAATGTAGGCCTAATATTACACTACTCGGGGACAGTACTTACTATTATATACGACTCCAATTCCTTCTCATAAACTGACAAAGAAATGTTTAAACGATATTTTACGAATGAGGTCAAGTAAAGATTAACACCCCCAGTGCATTAAATAACTCCGTAAATAATGAGTTTGTCAGGCTAAGTTAGGTAAGGTATAGTTAAGCTAATCTCACCTCATAATTTACGGGATTATTTAATGTACTGGGGGTGCAAATCTTTACTTGATCCACCATATTTGTATAGCTTTATTAAACTACGCCTAAGAGAATTTAAAATTAAATTAAATTAGCCGATGCATAGAGATCAGAACTTACATAAAGAGCCCAGATGCGGTAGCCACTTTCACCAGTTATTTTTAATAGATATAAAGCAGCTGAAAAAAAAAATGGCCACCCTGCCTTGAACATAAGAACATAAGAATAGAGGACACTGCAAAATGCCTACTGGCACACACGAGGCAGCTCCATTTTTGAATTGAATTTTCAGCATGTCTAACCTATTCTATTCTACTCTACTTATTTATTCTGTTTTTCTTTTTATGATTTTTCTAATAAGCACTAACCTATTCATACCCACCCTACCTCTGTCATATGTCTATCTAATCTACATTTGAAGGTGTCTAAGGTATTGGCATTTACTATCATACTAGGAAGCTTGTTCCATGCATCAGCTACTCTATTACCAAACCAATTTTTACCAATTTCCCTTCTGAACCTAAATTTATCAAGCTTAAATCCATTATTACGAGTTCTGGTTTGATCATGAATTTTTAAAACTTTATTAATATCTCCCTTGTTAATCCCTTTAAACCATTTATACACTTCAATCATATCCCCCCTAACTCTTCGCCTCTCTAGAGAATGTAGATTAAGTTTTTTTAATCTGTCCTCATATGGTAGATTTCTGATATTGTGTATCATCTTGGTCATTCTTCGTTGCACTCTCTCCAAGGATTCAATTTCCATTCTATAATAGGGTGACCAGAATTGCACAGCATAATCTAAATGGGGCCTAACTAATGCAAGATAGAGCTGCAAAATAACTTTTTCCGTCCTATTGCTGACGCTTCTTGAGATAAATCCTAAAATTCTGTTTGCTTTATTTCTGACTGCTGTGCATTGCTCTCTTGGCTTAAGACTACTACTCACAAGAACTCCCAAATCCCTTTCACACTGAGAACTCATGATTTCATGGTTATTTAGCTTATAACTAGTATTGTCTTTTATAGTACCCATTTTAACTACTTTACATTTTTCAACATTAAATTCCATTTGCCATTTGTCCGACCATTCAGATAATCTATTTAGATCTTACTGTAAAGAAGATCTTGTGAAGTGAAAGTATTGAAAGCAGAGAAGTAGGCCAGCTAGATAACTCGTGGAGATAAAAGAAAAATGATAATTTCATTCTTAACGAGTATTGCTGGAAATAATTCTTTTATTATGGTAACTAAAATCAAGTATATATTAGTGACCCCAAGTACATTTAATAATTACGTAAATTGATGTTAGGGTAGGAGAATCAAGTAAAGATAATAACTTCCAGTGCTTTAAATAACCACGCAAATTGTTAGTTAGGTTAGGCTGTAAGGCCTGACAACCTTTTTGTCTCTGGGTTATTAAGAATCTGACCATTCCTAATTGCGCCCAATTAAGTGGTTAGTCACCATGGATACGGATAACTGGGATAGGCTAAGGGTGGTGGAGGGGAATTAGTAATGCCTTCGAGATAACTCTCTAAGGCCTTAATCAGGGTGTCATCACTAGAGGGGGGATTGGGTGGGAAGGATTTGGGGGGAGTAAAGCACGAAGACGAAATAGGGGCAGATCCACTTGCTAAGGTGTGACTTGTGTAGGTGAAAGCAACCAAACAAACAAACATTTATTTCCATATTTGTACAATGGTTATTCTTCTAAACATACAAGTAACTTATAAGTAGACATGTAATTGAATTAATAAGTAAGAGGGTAATACATACAGTTAACTTAAATGTAGCTTTCATAGAAAATAATAATGATGTAATTAAATTGTTAACAATAATGTTAATAACATAGTAATAATAACACTAGATGCAGTATCGTTATTATCGGCATCATTACCATATTTGTTTTCCTTACAATGAGAATAATTAGTTCTTAACTTAGAGAACAGAGAAGTCGATATCAGATTACATATAGAGATGTTAGTGTTAAGGGAAATTGCATTAAATTATTAAGTTTAGTTTGTGTGAGCAGCAACTATTTGTCCAAAAGCAAACTATATAGTTTGCCTTTGAAAGCTGTGAAGGAGGATGCATTTTTAAGATGCTCTGGAATATTGTTCCAGAGTGTTGGCCCTTTAATAGTGATCATCTTTGAACCTGCTTCTGTGTTTGTTCTGTGAATAAAGAGCTCACTGCTCTGTCTTGTATTGGTTCCCCTTATATCCCTGACTGTTTTTAAATCATATAGCCAGCTAGGATCATGATGGTCCAAAATTTTGTATATGAAAGCATAAATAACATTAGCCACCTTGTTTTCTGCCCGCAGCCACCCAAGTTTATTGAGAGCTGGTGTAATGTGGTCATATTTTCTTATTCCTCCCAGGGCAACTCGAGCTACAAAATTAATAAGTTTCTGTATTCTGTTTATCTGAGTCTTAGTAGTAGCTTCCCAAACAGTTGTGCAGTAATTAATGTGACTTAGGGCTAGAGATTCAACAACAGTTATTCGAGTGGTAGTCTCAAAATTGTCTTTTATACGTGATAAGTACATTAATGTTCCTGTAACCTTTTTTCATACTTTCTCTATGTGGGAGTCAAACAACATGTAGTTATCAAAGTGATTTCCTAGGTTTTTGACTGTTTTGCTAGGTATAATAATATTGTCGCAAAAATTAATTGTTGTGTTTTCTGGAATTTGTGCTATATGGACCCTTGAACCAATAAATATGCATTGTGTTTTACTCTCGTTAATTAACAGCCCAATTTCCTGAAAATAGGTTTTAATTTTTGACAGGGTGTTTTCTGCTGTTAAAGTTAGCTCTGGGAAATTATTAATATCACCACTAAGGAGTAGTTGAGTGTCATCTGCATATTGTACGACTAGACAGAAATGAAAGAAGATAGATAATTTACGTAATTGGAGAAGAGGATAGGGCGAAGTACTGATCCCTGTGGAACACCAAATGATACATTTTTTGGTGTAGATATAATGTTGTTATGACGTACAGACTGTTTGCGATTAGATAGATACTCTCTAAACCAGCTCGGATCAATACTTAGGTTAGTACATTTACGTATAAGAATTTCATGATTTACACTGTCGAAGGCTTCTGAAAAGTCTAATAATACCAGCAGAAATATTTTTTTCATATCTATATTATTATAGATACTATTCGTAACTTTGAGCAGTGCAGTTTCCGTCGAGAGTTTCGGTCTGAAACCATTTTGGTTAATAGATAATAGTCTATTTGACTCTAGATATGACATAAGTTGGTATGCAACAATTTTTTCTAATATTTTAGAGAAAATGAGTAACAGGGAAATGGGACGATAGTTTGTCACACATCTTCTCTGTCCCCCTTTTTTATGCAGAGGTATTACATGTGATTTTTTCCAAGAGTCAGGAAACTTTTTAGTAACAATGGAAGTGTTCATAATAGTTAGAATATAAGATACAATCGAGGGTAGAGCATCTTTGATGAACTGAAATGGTATACCATCTGGAACATAAGAGCCAGAGTTTCTTAGGCTCTTTATGGCAAGAATTAGGGTAGCACAATCGATGGGATTTATCTTGAGGTACTCTCTTGTGTTTACATTGGAAGAATTGTCATTTAAGCAATTACTCATTCACTGAGTTGATGTTTTCTTGTGTTTTCTCATATGTATTTTTGCCAATGTTAGCAAAATAGTTATTAAAGTTTTCCGCTTTGTCTTTCAACTCCGTAATATTTTCGTAACTTTCTGAGGTAGTTAGGAGATAGATCGCTCTCTCACGGTCTATAGTTTTTTTTTCATTATATAAAAGGCGAAGGAAATATAGAGGTGCATTAAAGAAGGGAACCCTGAAGGAAAATAGTATATCATGGAGGAGTTGTAGTTAGAGAAATGATGATGGATAGAGAGAGTGATAATAGTAGAGTAAAGGTAATAAGAGTAGGAACAGCAGTGAGAATAGTAATAATAAACTAGATTATTATTATTATTATTATTATTATTATTATTATTATTATTATTATTATTATTATTATTATTATGACAATAAGATGAAAGTGATAATAAAATATGAAAGAAAAATAATAGTATGGATAATGCTAATTGCAAGAATGATAATAGTAAATAATAATAACAAATATAATAATAATATAAGATTTAAAATTATAATAATAATAGTAATAATATTGACAAAGAGAATTATAAAATAAAAAATATTATAAAATCTCGAATACCGGATTAATCAAAATGCTGCTCGCAGAACAGGAATGCACAACACTATACATTAAGCCTCTCAAGTTTAGAGGGAGTAATAATAATGGACATGAATGCAACCTTTCTACCTTTTTATAGCTGAAGAAAAGGAAGAATATATTCATGCGACTGGCATATTTACGCACCCATATATGCACATTGACACACACACACACACACACACACACACACACACACACACACACACACATAGTTTGAAGCTTGGTAAGAAAACTTCTTTGCAGGATGTAAGGAAATACTTTCTCAGTGTAAGAG